TATGAGATTGAAAACGAAAAACGTGGAGCGCATGCAATACAAAGCATTAGATTTAATTGACAATATTCAAACTACATACATAACATAGACCTAAAATTTCTGCAGCGAAAGTACAAATTTGAGATCGATTTTAAGCGGTCGTTATTAATATACCCACATACATACATATATGACTCTTCAATTTCTAATCAGGCCTATTACATGCGCCCCACGCTTTTCATTTTCAATCTCATAAATTGTTTATAATGACTTTTGCTAAAATTTCAAAATCAAAAGTTATCAAAACAAGTATAATGGGACTGAGAAATATTATTTTCTAATTTTAGTCCATTTATAAAAGCGTGGTACATTAAAAAGTTTTTTTTTTTATTTATTTTATACTTTTTAGTCTTGTCTGTATAAAATTTTGCAATAGATACTAAAATGATTCAACTTGCAGTGAAAAGAGAACAGAAGACTATGCAAGCACAATGTTGTTTGCTCACATTTAGTATATGCCTACATATGTACATACATACATATAGCAGCAATTAATTTCATTTAAAGAAATGGCGTGTCGTCCATTTCCGCTGTAGCGTATGTAGTGCATATTTTTAAGTTCTTCTGGCGAGGCGACATCTATCTCTAGAGTTTTTCGAATTGTATGTCTTTGATATGATACCTACGACGAGGTTGATATCTAGACTAGGTTTGCCATAAATACCTTTGCTATATTTATAGTATGGTTAATGTGACCAACTATTTCATAGCTCAAAGAAGTTCAGGTTAGGTTGTCTTAAGTTAACGTCGCGAGCCGATTCGATCCCTGCGAGCTCAGTGTTTGTTCAGAAATGCGAGCCAAAATGCTTCCATCTTAGCCTCGCGAAGGTTGGACATTTTAAAAGAAAGTGTGGAGATGATTCCACTTCATTTACCTCTTGACAGCTGATAAAAAAGGATCAGCTTAAATTCCTAGTCTCCCCACATGAATACCAATCGCACAATTGCCTGTCAGAACCCCTCTCACTAGCTCTTGAGAGGTAACGTGTTTTGAAGTGGCCTATAAAAATATTTGCTGCAGTAGAGAAGACGTTTTCTTTTCCTTTTTTATGTCACAAAAGAACCAGAATTTCCTTAGCCCAATAGCAGTTCGTGCTGCGCCAATTCTGTCTGCAATATCCGCAGGCGCCGTGTTCGACATACACTGAGGGAAATAATGCATAGTAAAAATGAATATTTTATATTTGATTATCGTTTAAAAACGTTCGTATTTAAAAATAATATTTTCATACAAAATTTATTACGCACGTATTTCACTGTTCACATCTGAGTATGTATATATATGTAAGTGTGCATACGCACGCCAGGCATGCAGAGCGCTGCTCGGGGAGCGGTGACCACACACACATACATACATAGTACATACATGCCCAGCCAGCAAAATATCCCGAAACGTATCCGAAAATGGAAACAAATTCGTATAAAAACCTGATGTTTCATCCGTTTTCCGTTTTCGGACATTTTTAGATCAATTCTCCCACTAAAATGGTTGTAAAACGGATACTTTTTCGTCTGTTTTCCTGAAATTTGTCTAATTCAATTTTTCGTTGAAAACGATTTTATTATGAACTTCACAGAAACTTTTTCATAGTTATAGGAAACCAAACAAAAAACAAATTTAAGATTCAGAAATTATTTCGATTAATAAATAATTTTAATGTGTTGCTTCTGAAGGAATTCGAACCTGGAACCTCCTGAAAGCTAACAAATAGTAGCTCACTTCTCTGCACACTCAGCTACTGGCGAATACGTATACATGTTTTCAAATGCTCAGTTTGAATAAATATTTTAAAATTATTGTTTTGAAATCATTTACGGATACGAAAAATGAACAAATATGGAAATCATTTTCTAAACGTTTCCGGATACGAAAAATATACGAAAACTGCACTGTCGACAAAAAGTACGTTTCTCTGCTGGCTGGGTGTTTATCCGTACAAATCGCGTGCTGTGGTGTTGATGGATATTCAACATTTGAAAGCAAATTTATATGTCTGGGTGTAGCTGAGTGCGCAAAGATGCTTGCCACAAGTTGTTGGTATCCGGAGATGGTCGGGTTCGAATTCCACTGCAGGCAACATGCAAATAAATTTTTTTTTAGTTTTGTCTTGATTATTCACTTCACGGATGCTTTTTCATTACGAACGCGGTCATTTTAATATGCGCGTAATTGAATTGAATATTTACCAATATACAGTACTTTCGTTGACGTTTATAGTAAGATCAATTGCGTTTCTATTTGATTTTAATATGTTTTTCCCTCAGTGTGTGAATGTTAAGCGCCAGTATAGGTGTGGTTCCTAATGCTTCACTAATTCCTATTTTACAAGTGTAGCTTTCTCTAGTGAGTTCCACCAGACAAGGGCTCCTTGAAACAATATAGGCTTAAATCTGGTTTCCTAGAGCTAATGAATTAATTTGGGCGAGAGACCTCACCTTTTACCGATAGCTCCCCTACAGCAGTACCAGGCAACCGACACCTTTCTTACCCTTTCCTCAAGGTTAGGCTCCCACGACAGCCGCCGTTGATCGCCCACCTAGTTATCTGGTTCAGGTAACCTTGAGCCAGATCAAAAAGGGTGTCTAGAAAACGTCCCCTAACCAAATGTTGCACATCATCAACATAGGCGATCACCCGACAGCCCAATTTTTCCAGTTTCTCTAGAAGGTCGTTTACAACCGCAATCCAGAGCAGGGAAGAGAGAACACCACCTTGTGGAGTGCTCGTATTGTAGGGCTGCCATAATCCTGAACCCATCGACCCCGTCCAAGTAAAAAACGAAGAAAAGTGCGATAGCGATCCGAAAATTGTCGCCAACTTGTTACAAATTCTCCCTCCTGAAGTACAAAGAATCGCAAAGAAGTACATTTGACTGTACTTCGAAGTACGAAGTACAAGAGCGAAAAAAGAAGTACTGTACTTCCGAAAGAAGTACGGTTGGTCACTTTAAGTATGGTGGTCTGGACATACAACATTGCATGTTGATAAAAGCGTTGTAAGAACAATTCAGAAATAAGCGGAATAGGCCAAGGAACAATATCATCAATAGGAACGGCATTTTTAGAATTTCAAGTAGAAAATATACTTATACCACATACATTTCAAATCGTAAATGAAGATTTCCCTATACCATACGATGGTATATTGGGCTTAGATTTCTTAAAGACTATCTCATAATACGTCCGCGCAATCACAAACAAATACATATATGAGTTTATGCGGATCACAAAGAAAATTCAATAATAATTCCAGCCAGGTCAGAAGTAATTAGAAAATTAAACATAAAATCAAATGAACCTGAAGTATTTATACCAAACCAAGAAATTACTCCAGGCAGGAGTAATAATCAGCAACACAATTACAAATTCACTACGTCCGTTAGTCCGAATACTAAACATAACAAATGGAAATATCACAATAAACAACCAAAACATTTTCTATGAAAAACTGTCCGACTACGATATCCATGAAATAGACCAAAGTAACTCAAGTAGTAGAAAAAAAAATGGTATTAGAAAAACTCTAAAAGAATTTTCCCAAAGATAATAAAAAGGTATTAACTCAATTATGTTCAGAATATAGCGACATATTTGGCATCGATTCAGAGCCAATCACAGCAATAGTCGAACCCGCTACACCAGCGTACAATAGTCCCTTACTTTTAGTTCCAAAAAAGTCACTGCCAAATTCAAGTGAAAAATGATGGAGGTTAGTCGTTGACTACCGTCAAATTAACAAAAAACTAGTTTCAGATAAATTCCCTTTACCAAGAATTGATGATATTCTTGACCAACTTGGAAGAGCAAAATATTTTTCATGCTTAGATCTCATGTCAGGTTTCCATCAAATACAATTCGAGAAAAATTCCAGAGAATTACTTCATTTTCCACAAATGGTAGCTCATATCGCTTCAAATGACTCCCTTATGGGTTAAAAATAGCACCAAATTCTTTCCAAAGAATGATGACCTATGCATTTGCTGGCTTATCACCAGCACAAGCCTTTATCTATATGTACGATTTAGTCGTTTTGGGATGCTCTGAAAAGCACATGATTCAAAATCTAACCGATGTATTTGTTTTGTGTGAAAAACACCACTTAAACTCAACCCAGAGAAGTGCACATTCTTTATGCGTGAAGTAACGTATCTAGGTCACAAATGCACAGATAACGGCATTCTTCCAGACGATAGCAAAAACAAAATTATTCAAGACTATCCAAAACCTAAAAATGCCGAAGAAGCGAAAAGCCTTCTGTAATTACTACAGAAAATTTATTAAAAATTTTGCGGAACAATCCCGCCACATAACAAGATTATGTAAAAGCAAGTAAGAAAGTCTAAGTTCGGGCGGAGCCGAACATTAAATACACCGGCGCAAGTATTAAATATATGGTTTTCACCTTTCCGAAAGCTACAGCTAGATGGATCAATCGGTGATCAATTTTGAGTAAATTAGCGTCCTTACAATTTTGAAATATTCAAGTTTCAACGCATTTCTGAAATTTACCGTTATATGAAAAGCGGCCGTAATTTTAGTCGATTTCAATAATTTTCAACGTTTTGCTCTTTATAGTGGTAAGGACAATAAAACACCGATTTGGTACAAATTGGTATGAACGGTTACCGAATACATAATGTGATCATAAGTGGGCGGTGCCACGCGGGCGTGGCTACGCCCATTTTCCAAAAATTTATAATATTCTTATTTTTCGTCTGAAAGTTATTGTAAATATCAATTTTGAGTGAATTATCTTCAGTAGTTACTAAAATATCGCAGTTTTCGTATTTCTGGAAATTACCGTTATATGGGAAGTGGGCGTGGTTACTGTTCGATTTTCAATACCAACCTACCTTGGATTAACGGAAACCTACATACCAAATTTCGTTGAGATATCTCAATTTTTGCTCGAGTTATCGTGTA